CCACTGGGAGGAGGGGGGAGTGAGCAAGTGGCTGCGTGGTGCTTAGTTGCTGGCTGGCGTTAAACCACGACAATCCTGTATTTAATTTGCTGGTCTGCTGAGACAAGTGAAAATTTTGCTTAAATAGCCGCACAGAATTTAAGAGTAAATCACCTCTTGCTTTATTTCCAATGGATTAGCCTACTGCAAGGCAAGAGCTGAATCTTTTCATTGTGTAGGTACTGTTTTATTAGTATTTCTACTTAAAAGTGGTATTTTGTAAGAACTATTCTCTAAGTGTATATAGAATATGTTTTGCTCTACCTCTTCCAGAAAACAAAGCAGACATTTTCACTTTCTTACTGTGTTGAATATCTTGTTGTGTGTGTAATCCCTTTTCTTTTTTTTTAAAGTACAATGCAATCTCACCTTCTTGTCAGCCATTCTCTACCCATAATGCAGTGTTCATATTTCATGAACAGAACTGACCAGAATCATGCACTGTATTCCAGATGGTCTAACAGATACCTTGAAAAGTAGCCTTCATGCTTCCACAGTTCTCTATGAAAATATCTCTTCTCAGTCATTCTGCAATTTTACTTACATTTCCTTTGTAGCCACTTTATATTGTTAACTCACAATAAACTAATACACCCAGGCTATTCTTACTGATTCACAACTTAAAGCAAAAGTTTTTGTTAGTCCTCAAGTCAATGACTTTGTACATTGAATTACTGGATTTTATTTATCTAGTCTTCAAGATAAATTAATTTCTCCCTGTATTAATATATCTCTCTTTACATGAGCAGCAATCTGCAATTTGTAAAGTTATGGCTTTATGAACTTACTTCCTTGACTGCTCTTGATGATCTTTTATCTCAGCAGTCTTGCAAAAGATCTGGGTTTCCCTCATAATGGCAGGATCTACAAAGCGTATCTGTTACAGCATTTTTTTCAGGTAGCTCAGCATTCTTCTTAAGTTTTCACAGGTGCATTTATTCTTGCTTGAGCAGGTCACTTCAGTAATACAAGAGTTCAGGGCTTGTGGTTTTCTGCAGAGCATAAGTTACACATCCATGTATGGGATCTCAGAATGATGAGAAATACAACAGCCACCTTCCTATGCATTCAGGGTCACTGCCTCAAGAAGGCAAAACCATGAGTAGAATGCTGTGATACTCCATTGATCTATGAAGCTGATGCATTGTCAAGTGCTGAAAAAAATACACATTTACAAATGAGAAGACTTGAGAAAGCTGTGAGAAAACTCCTGATTTTGAGCTGTAATCTTTAATTACAGAACTCTAAAGCTCCAAGATGCAATACAACTCCTGGTAACAGGAAGAAGATAAGTAAGTGGAAGCATGCCAAGATAATATGTCTCCTTTGTAGGAGAATGACAGGAGACGGGAGCGAGCACCAGGAATAGCATGGTAATGCTGCTGCGTGCTGATCTTGCTGATGTGTTTGTCAGAATCTGACAAGGAATGAGAAGAAAAGTCTCTACACCATATAGCTTTGCATGAGGAGATGTCCTGTTGCCAAGGGGAATCCATCATCTAGCATGGAGATGACTGTACCAGCACAACTGAGCACAGATCGGGGGTACAGATCCACTGGGTGGACGCTTCAGCATTGACCTTCTTAAGAGGCTCTAGAAATAGACACAAGAGAGCAAGCAAATGCTCAGGTTGGCCTGGTGACATGAAGTTGGAGGGTAGACTGGCACAAGTATCAATGCCCAGTTTGACAAGGACAGTGCTAAGGCTGATATTTGATGAATTAAGACTACTGGAGAAGGAGAGGACATCTGGAATATCTGGCCATATGGAGCTACACAGAAGAGAATTCTCTTACTTTGTCACTGCCTGTGCGAGACCCCACAGCAGTTGTATGGACCAGGGAAATCTTGGATCAAATGGTTAAGTCTAGAGAGACACAAAGTGAGATGGGTCCTTCGTAGGCATCGTCTTAGCCAGTCTTCCCAAGAGTTAACCCCGCACATGCTGCTGTAGACAATGAAGGTGTGTGATCTGGAAACAGGAGCAGTGTAAGGTTTAGGTGTAGGAGACCTTTGTAGCCTTCTTAACAAGAACTGAAGCCTGAAGGAAGGGGCAGTGAGGGCAGCTTCTCAAGCATGTGACTGGCAAACTGCAAGCCTGGAATGTCAGTCACTCAGAGGCAAAATCTTACACTGGCAAGTGTTGCAAGAATAAGGAGATTTTTGGCAAAGGCAGCAAAATCTGCAGAAAGCCAAAAGATACAGCAAGAATTACAGTGAAAAAACCAAGCAATGAGGAACATTCTTACGAAGTAGTGTGGCTGAGAGGAACCGAAATGGCAGTCGGCCTGCGCCTTCTTACATGCAGTGTGAGGAGGTGAGGATAAGCCTAATGTATACCATTTACAGACACTGCACAGAAAAATAGACTTTTAAGTCCCACACTGCAGAATTTCAGTATACCCACTGTCAGTTCACATGTGTTTATTCTAAGAACCACTTCATTTCCTCACTGTACATTATTTTTCATTAAGTGTCTATTGCAGGTTAGAACATAGGAGCTCACAACAGCAGTTAGCTGGTTGTTTGGCCATAACTAGTCATAAATAATTGAAAGAATAATGTGCAAATCATTATTTCTGTGCTAGTAAGTAATAACAACATTCCTTTTAAAATAAAACAAAACCAAACCAACACACTTGGCAAAACTTGGAAAACTTTTGTTGTAAGAGCTCAGATGAATAACCCAAAAGAACTAAAAATACTTTAGAAAATACTTCGGTCAGGTAATAGGTACTCAACAGTATCCTGGGAAATGGAGACACTCCCATTTGCTTTTGATAAGGCGGTATGAGTTGTACATTGGTTAATTTGTAAATACACAAATTAATTCCAGCTCGGGATGACCTCGGATGAAATTCCCCAAACAGGATATGAACAAGCTGATGAGGCACCAAAACAAGCAACCTAAAACTGCAAGATGGGAACCAGAGACAAGTACAGGTGAGAAATAAGCAGCAGCCAGTTCTCACTGTCTCTACTCACCCAGGTATCAGATCAGAATCATACAGAGAAGACTACTGAACCCACAGGATTTGTTTTTTCGTCTTCTTGTGAAATTATTTACATCAGGCTTCAGTTTCTTCCTCATCTTAATGGATAGTTTCTGTTACCCTTGGCCTTTCAAGACCTTCACTAACAGTTGAGCTTGCCAATGTTTTCTTGGTAACTGCAGGTGTCTTTTGGCCCTTTAGTGTGGGTTCATGCTTCTGTATAGCTAGGAATAAAGAGTGTACTTCCTTGCATGTTGACCTGGCACTCTGCATCTCATGTCACGGCAGTCTAATGAGATTTGCTCCCAAATTTGGAAAGGAAAGACTGCTCGCTGTTGAAAAGAGACTTTTATTTTTAATTTACTGTTTCATCTGGTGATCTCAAAGGGAAGTTTGATACTGTAAAGAAAATCTTACTTGTGCTTTGTGAGCCTTATTGGCAGAGGAGTAAACAGCCTGAAGTACTACTGTTCTTCACTCTGAACTTCTAGATACAGAAGATGCATCTTCCTGTTGGATTGCCTTAGCTGTTCACTGGTGCATCCAGAACTCTCTAGGGCAATCGAGATGTTTGTTGAGAGTAGCTCTTTCAAAGGAAACTTTAAGATTAAGGAATACTGAAATCCACCATTTCCTTCAAGATTCCTCAACCCAAATTATGCTCCCTTAGAATCTTCTTGATGATTTCAAAGAAAAAGCAATTGTTCTGTCCCTCCCACCATCTGGATTGTCCTGCCCTTTGTTGTTCCTGTCTGAACAGTCTGTAGGTTGAGGCTCACTCAGATCATCAGGTGGCTCAGGGTTGTTCTTCCATGAAGTTGTTCTGGAGATACAAAGTGCACATAAAATACTTGCCTCGCCTTTGAACACGCATATGGTTAGTCACAACTCTGCATTGTGTAGTATGTTACAAGCGAAAGGTAGTAAGGTCCTGCTTCTACTTGTTAGAGAGTTATTGGAACTAGGAATGTTAGGTGTTGCCCATGAAGTTAGTTTCTGTACTGTTCACCTACTCCAATCCATCTCACCTCTTCCTACGGGGAAATAACATTCTTTTAATCAGTTGATTTCTGCTGCTGCCACCACACTCCCAGCCTGTCCCCAACGTAGTATGCCTTCTGTTTTGTCTTCCTATTTGAGTACTTCAGTCTTGACTATCTTGGGATTTCTTGAAGCTGAGAGACATTCTAAGTATTTCTGAAAAAACTCCCACCTGGTTGATTTCGCTGGTGACTTCCAGTTGTTAACTCTGTTTTTATAGGCTGCTGAAGGGTTCGTTTTTTGAACATATCGCCTAGTCTGTGAGCTGGTTCCTCAGTAGTTTTTAAAATATTACACATCAGGTGCTTGTGGACCCTCACATTGGATTGTTGGTTCCATTTTTTTCCCATTTCTTTTCTTACTTCCTGTGATCACTTCACCTTGAAATTTGGGTGTTTATGGCTGGCATTCCATGTAGTATTTGCTTTCTGACTCTGATGTTAAGCTCATCCTGAAGGGCTCAGTGGTTTTGTTTGGGTTTTTCGTTGTTGAGGTTTTGGGGGGCTTTTTGTTGTTGAGGTTTTTGGGGCGGGGGGGGTGGGTGTTGTGGCTGCTTTTT